CATTTACGTCATTTGTCTCATTGGCAACCATACCACAGCTCCTTAATTTTCATATGAATAATCAAAATAATTGGCTTGAAATTTTGAGGTCTCCTGTTATAACTTGGCAACAGAGATCACATCTAAACTTTGATATTTTGCAGTCCCATGATAGAGGGGTATTATTTTCTATACTGACGACTGATGCAAACTATGTTTGATAGAATTAAAAATAACTTTGTGTCTGTGGAAAAAATATGCCAAACTTTTTGAAAGTTTTTATGCTTAATCACAGATTGTCATCTGAAGAATGGGTTAAGCATATTTCTACTTAACCTTGTAAATTTGCATTCTTTATGCATAATAACAGATTGTTAAGGCTCTGATTAATCATTGTATATTCTACATGGTTTATTCAAAGTTAAGTCAGTATAAAGTCAAAAAATGAAATCATAGAGATCTGCTGCATTATGTCTTTTTTTTCAATTTTATAAATAGAAACATTTTATTTGACTTTTTAGTTTTGAATGATTTTTTTAAGGTGGATTTTTAGTAAGGTATTATGAATATTTTTTATGAGAAATTTTAAATATTTCAACTTATTCAGTATATATTTTAAATAATATTGACAAAAAATCTTTAAGCGGATATATATTAAATATGATATACATGTATGTGATGGCGTCTGACAAAATGATCCAAGATTATAGCGGTTTCCTTTTTTCAGAGATTTATGATAAAAATCTTATAGTTTTTGCAAGAAACGTTAATTTCTGGTTATGAAACTTAAACTGTTCCTTATACAATCATGTTTGTGATGTTGGAAATAGATTGAAATTAGACAAGTTTTCCTGTTTCCTGTTTACTGAGATTTTACGATACAAATCATATTTTGTTCTGAAAATACTTATCTCTGGTCAAGAAATGTTTTTCATGGTCCTTATGCGACCATGTTTGTGATGTTTCAAATAGAATCATATTGTAATAAAGATGTTGCTCCATTTCTAACATAAATATTAATATTTTCCAGTTTTCACAAAAAAATCCTTTTTATATCAACGACGATATTAACCCAAATTCATCCATTTCCATCAGATTTGTCTTGGTAGACGTTAATAAAACAAATATGATGAAAGTCTAGACACAAAACACCCATGTATTTTTTTTGGATATTTTTACGATGTTTAAGTATTTTCTGTACGTATTGGCTGGACTATAACGGTATTCCTATTTCAGTGATACACTGCTTTTTCTGAATAAAGAAAAAGAGGATACAAATTTACTCGAAAAAGCTAGAAGTGTTGTCGACGTTCATATCAGGCAATTTGCACTTCTTTGGTGGTATGAAAAGTAAAAAAAGATACCAAGGAGAAAATACAAATTCATAAGCTGAAGAAAGGAAAGCAACTTTATCTTGGCATGGAAAACAAAAAATCAGACTTTTATTCACGCCGAAAGAATGTTACACATATTAAATTCTTCTTTTTATACTTTTAACAGGTTATTGATGCTGACAAAGAGGAAAACATCGTTCATAATTGAAGAGTTTGGATCAAAGTTGTTTCACAGAGGCTGTAAAGTTTAATCATGACTTCGATTTCACAACTTACAGGAGAAGAGAGAAACTTTACCAGATTTTTCTTCCTCAACTTTAAAGTATCCCCAGACATTGCCAGGCGATTCTTTGACGGAGTTTTCCCGCCAACAAACTTAGCCCATACTATCAACAGTAATATGCGTGCCATTATCAGTTTAAATAAATCAAAAAGAATCAATGCAGCCCAATTAGAAATACTAAGGGGTGTCCAAGGAACAGTATGGCCATCGTATTTTCCTCCGATGCCTGTTGGAAAAAAAGGTAAATAGTTATGATATACTTAATATTTTTTATGCCCCACCTAGGGGCATTATGTTTTTCGGTCTGTGCGTCCGTTCGTCCGTCTGTTTGTCCGTTCGTTCGTCCGTCTGTCCCGCTTCAATTTAAAGTTTTTGGTCAAGGTAGTTTTTGATGACGTTGAAGTCCAATCAACTTGAAACTTAGTACACATGTTTTCTATGGTATGATCTTTCCAATTTTGATGACAATTAGAGTTTTGACCCCCAATTTTACCGTCCACTGAACATATAAAATGATAGTGCCCGCTTCAGGTTAAAGGTTTTGGTCAAGGTAGTTTTTGATGAAGTTGAAGTCCAATCAACTTGAAAATTAGTACACATGTTCCCTATGATCGTTCTAATTTTAATGCCAAATTAGAGTTTTTACCCCAATTTCACGGTCCACTGAACATAGAAAATGATAGCGCGAGTGGAGCATCTGTGTACTATGAACACATTCTTGTTTTTATAATGCATTCGCATTCTGCTAAGGAATATAAGTGAGCCTAACTTATGATGGTGAAAAATTAACTTGGTTATTGTACAATGATACAGAAGTGGTACTTTTCTGTGTTGATCTTATAAAATGTTATGATCAACTAATGGTAAAAAATAAAAATTAGGTAATGCGGTTTGATTGCCAATGAGACACAATGCACTAAAGATCAAATGAACAGGCTATAACACTTACAGGTAACTGTATAGCCTTTAACGATGAGCACAAACCATACCATAGTAAGCTATAAAAGGCCCGGAATATCAGATTGTAAAACAAATCAAAAGGTAAAACTAAAGTCCGAATTTAGGCTAATAACATAGAACGAACCGCTTTTACAAACAGTTACCAAAATAGTAAAATGCAACCACTGGACTACATGCTCCTGGTTTTAGAATAAAGGCAAACAAGTGCTGTATTCACCCGCTTATTCCTAACTAAGTCCTGTAAACAAATCGATATGTTCATTCCAAAAACATGATTTTCAAGCTAAAAGAAAAAAACTTCTAATTGATTTGAAAGTACTGCCAATTCCACTTGAATTTGTTCTATTTAGGGGTCATAATTTTCAAACAATTTGCCATATATCCATTTCAGTGTTTAACATTGTTGTTAAAATTGTTTTGATACATTATTGCGAAATGTATGTCATGGTAAGTAAAACTTTGCTGCGGAATAAATCCATTACCTAAGAATTTGGATTTAAATTAGAAAGACGATTGTTTCTTCCAAAGGAATGTTTGTTTGGTTAAGAATGTACCCTTTCTATTTTTTTTTTATAAATACTCGAAATTTGACGAAATCTTTTCAAATTGCAGTTTTAATTCAATCATCAGTTGCATATAATCAATCCATATGTTCACAATTACGTCATAATGGTGTACTTCAAATATAAAAATAAGAAGATGTGGTATGATTGCCAATGAGACAGCTCCCCACCAGAGACCAAGTGAGATGGCAGTTTACAACTAAAGGTCACCTTACGTTCTTTAACAACGAGAAAAACCGATACCACATAGTCAGCTATAGAAAGACCCGAAATGACAAATGCTAAACAATTCGAGCGAGAAAACTGATTTATGAACAAGACAATGAACAACAAACAAATATGATATACAACATCAAACGACAACTAATGAATTGCAGGCTCCTTACTTCGGACAGGCACATACAGAATGTGGCGAGGTTAAACTAGTTTGTTGTCGCCAAATCCTCCCCTAACCTGGGATAGTGGTGTAACAGTACAACATAAGAACAAACTATAAATGTCAGCTTAAAAGGGCTTAACACATTGGATCGATACAAAGCAGACAAACATCTAACAAAAACACTGGACGTTGCAGGGTTTTGTTTTATACATCCCCACAACAAAAAAAGATATTAAATAGATCTGAGAGTACTCACAGTTTCTGCCAGCTAGTTCATAGCCAATAACAACTATTAAAAACGTCATGCATCTAAGACTAAAATATCAATCAGTACACATCCAACATCCGAAGGATTTAGTATAAAGACGTCATTAACAGCCAGAGAAAAACACGAACTTGTGCAATGACAAGACACAGATATCGACAGATTGTAGAGTCATGAACGTGCATATGTATATAAAATAATATTTAGTTTGATTTTAATTTACTGATAACAAAATCAATATTTATACCAATAAAAACAACATGCAAAGATTTCATTACAGTAAATTTGTAACCTTTAACATGTTTAAGAATAAGTTTATTTAAAGGATCGATAAGTTAACCTTAATTTCCGGGCTCGGTAAACAGCAAAAAAAAAAAAAAAAATAGAATGACTGTGCTATCCCGTTTGAAATAGATTTTCTACAGGTAAAATGTACAGTATACAAAGTATACATTAAATGGTGATATACTGTAATCAATTTTAAAAGACGAAGAACTTTTTGAAAAGGGCTCAAGTTTGAAAAAGTTCTGCAGAAATCGATTCTTCCTCTTTTTATGTCCCCGCCGTAGCGGAGGGGGCATTAAGTTTTATCCTTGTCCGTCTGTACGTCCATCCGTCCGTCCGTCCGTCCGTCCGTACGTCCAAAAATTGGTTTCCGTTCTCTAACTTTAGTTTGCCTCAACCAAATGTTATGAATCTTAAAGACAATGCTTTTTACCACAAAACACATGTCAAGTTTGAATTTTGGTGGCGTCACTTTTACAGTTCAAGAGTTATGCCCTTTTACAAAAGGAAAAATTGCTGTTCTAAAAATATAAATGATGTCATTTTTAAAATCTTCTTTGAAAAGTGGAGTTATCTTTCTTTGTACAGTATGGTAGTTGAATCAACTACAAACAATGCTTTATACAATGCAATATTCAATTTTACTTTCCACTGATAAATTAAAGCAATCTTTACCATTCAGTGCTTACAAGCACTTTGATAACCATTCTAGGGTTATGCCACTTTACAAATCGTTTCCGTTCTCTAACTTAAGTTTGTCTCAACTAAATTTGATGAAACGTATATATAATGCTCATTACCACTAATCTCAGTTTAAGTTCAAATTTTGGCAGCTTCACTTTTACAGTTCTTGAGTTATGTCCCTTTATCACGTTATATGCTAGCGGACGCATCATCTGTGTCCCTATGGACACATTCCCCATTTATTTCCTAATTGTTTTATTCTAGCTACCTCTTCTAAGGACTTTGATCTGACAATGATGATTTGTCTGCTGCGTAATATAGGAGGTTTATCAACACCATCGAATGGATGGGACCAACTTCCGCATCCAAATGATACGTTACCAGGAGCAGACTTAGCTACACTGAAGTGGTACAGAAATCAATTGGCCCATACGACAGTTACTTCTATGGATAACAATGAGTTCAATGACAAATGGACTCTTGTTGAAAAGGTACGCAGTAGCAACCAAGGCACATTTCTTCATTTTGTTCAGATAAGTCATTGTAATTTAGACACGAAAAATACGAGTTTTAGAAAATTAAGGTTGCTTCAGCTGGTGTACAATTTGTCCAAGATTAAGCCAGAAAATAAAAGTTTTAATATTCTTCTCTCATTTAAAGCTCCCGACTATCGAAACACAGTGTTAAAGCCACAGTCACACTAGACCATAATCGCACCATGATCACCGCGATCTTAAATAAATTCAGATCGTGGTGAGGTCGCGGTATGAGTGGCATGAAAATGTAAATTTTCGTTGTTTTCACAATGATACTATGTCCTCATGACGCTTTTACAACGATCCCGCTACGATTATACCACGTTCTCATCACTCTTTTTCTGCGACCTCACTACGATTATCATGATCTTACTAGGCTCATTACGTTCTCACTACGACCATACCACAATTTATTTGATTACAACACGTGCTAACCACACTTATACTACGTTCAAACCGCGATCTTACTACGCTCTCAGCAATAACGTCAACGTCGTGTATCATATAAGTACTGTTCCATTCCTTCTATTTTTCATTAATACGTAGATTTCACAGTCATGCAACCAAAATCTGCCAGAACTCGTGGGGGTGGTTGTAGGGGTAGAGATTGATGCAGATGGAGCTCTGATAAAAACGAATCCTGATCCAGTAGAGATGTCGAACAGACTAATCCAACCTGAATCCCAACCTATTGCTGATCCATCAAGATCAAATGACGATGTTTTAGTGAACGATAATAGGGATGACACAGATGTGTCAAGCATGGTTGAGTCGTTGGAGAAAAAGGACAAGAGGCCCAAATTACATACAGACAAACAAAACCTGGAGAGCTTTTATCTATTGTATGTGACAATGACAATGAACATTATGGTCGTAGTATGAACGTAGTCAGGTCGTAAGAAGAGCGTGATGAGGACGGCATGGGCGTACCAGAATCGTACTATGGTCTTGAAGAGCGTATAAACGTGGTGTAGTAGTAGAATCGTGGTTGGGTCGCGGGAAGAACGCGATGGTCGTAGTGAGGTCGTAGTAACATCGCTGTGAGATCGTAGCGCGGTATCTCCGACTAGAATCGCGCTTTCGCTACGCTCTCGCTACGATTGTACAGCGACCTTTGCGATCTTACCACGACCTTACTGCGCTATCACTACGCTTCTACTACGACCTGATTTCGCCACGACCGTACCACGATTGTTTTGAGCATGTTCAAAGTTGGCCACGCTCATCACGATCTTGAAGACCTCATCAAGACCGTACTTCTACCTTACTGCGATCTACACGATCGCACTACGATCGTCAAAATTTGCATTTTTTTCACAGATCGTAGTGCGATCGTGGCCTAGTGTGACTGCAGTATTAATTGTTCAATGTGTTTTATATATTGAATGAACTTTAACCAAGATCATAAGAAATACACACTAATTTCGTGTATCATAATTAACTAAATGGCAAACTATAAACACAAACCCATTAGCAGACCTATAGACAAATTTCAAGGTAAATTTTGCAAGTGTATGAAAGATGGTTAGGTTTATTATGCGTTCTTTTTAAATGCGGTATGAAAATTGACCGCAGATGGCGTAAAATATTAAAACTTTGAAGTTTTTCGTGATAAATATGACAACCTAAACATGCTAAAGATTAGAAAGTAAGTTGATTTATGCTTAAAGTTTTTTCAAATTTCAAATAAAATTCTATATGTTGAAATGTTAGAAAAAAAGATATGTCATTTTGAAGATTAGATTATCATCAATTACTTGTATATTTTTCTCGTTTAAGGCATTGACATCTTTAAATAAAGGTCAAATTCTACACGAAGTCACTGAAATCTTGAATTACGATCTTGATGGAGAACAAACAAAGACATTAGCAAACGCAGAACTAAAGCAACTGAAAAAAGAATACCTGGTTTGGGAAAAGGAAAAAGACCAGATAGAAAGTGATTTCACTTATTACAGAAAAGGATATCTGCCAAAAAACATTGCAGGTTTGTTTCAATTTTAAAGATATAATCTGTTTAAAGTTTGAAAACGATAGGCGAAAGATACCAAAGGAATGTTCAAACTCATAAGTCGAAAAATAAGCTGAAAATTTTATGTCGAAAAACGAAAAACGAAAAAAGACAAATAACAGTATACAAGACACAACATAGAAAAACTATAGACTGACCAACACGAACCCCCAAAAAAAACAGGGTGGATCTCAGCTGCTCCGGAAGGGTAAACAAATTCTGCTACTAATATGGCACCCTGTTACTTTGCTCGAGTAAGTACACACCCAGTAATAAGTCTAATAAGGTAGGTCACATTCGAGGAAAGAGGACGGGATTGTGGTTACGACAATTGGAATCATATCCGCCGTCATCAGTGACACAGATATGCCATAACGGTCGACCATCTCGTGATGGCGAACATTTTCGAAGGGATGATTTCGACTTCACCACTTGGAACTCTTGGTTTGATAATAACTGGGAGAAATATACTACATATGCAGACGCTGTTGGCATGTAGCTTCATAGAAATGGAAAGTTAACAATTTGGAAGTTGGAATTATCTCTTTTGTTGTAAAGTTTTGTTTTCAACCGACCATCATTTCCAATAAATAAGTCAAGACGTTAATAAACACAGGTGGGGTTATAGCTCAGTAATACAATTGATTTAATCCGAAATCTTGCTCTTTCTGCAACAAAACATTTTTTTTCTGATTAAGTCAATAGTTCGAAATTTACTAATGAGCTGTTTTTAAACATAAACAACTAGTTTTTTATTACATTTAATACGGACGAAGGCGATTTGTTCTGCCGAAATATTTGGCACCACGATTTTATCACATCCTCTTCGTATATTACCATCTAATATTGGTATCTTTGCGCATATCTTAGATTTTTTTAAGATTTTTTTTCCTTATCTGCGATAGACAAACTAGCTTCATCAGGCGCGCGCAACCATCTGGGTGAAATCGGATGCTGATAAGATTATTTTTACCTTATCGTACATTTCGTTTAAATAGAAATGTTTGCGGCTTATCCTACATTTTGTTTGGACAATTCTTATTGTGTTGTTTAAATTGTAGGAATTTCAAGATTTATTTACTTTGGTTTATGATAAAACGATTTTTCATTTCTTTGGTTGATTTCATCGGGTTCAAGAGTTCGTAGATGGTAAATCCAAAATCGTTCTCTTTGTTTTCTACCTTGTGTGTCCGAATTTTGGTTAGCCTGCATGATTTGAAAGTTGACATTTTTAAAAGAATTTCCTATTTTTAAGAAGTTTCACGTGATTGGGCCGTTTGATTGCTTCTTTTTTAAATATATAGAATATGAACATTTTATTTACAGAAGCGAATGCAACTTTGGTTGAAACATGGCTTAATGATGACAAAACTTTTTACGAAACAGAGGGATCGGAACTTGTTTATGATAAACTACATGATTGTAATTGTATTTTGGTGACATCAAATTCAGGATTAGGAAAGACGGCTACCATCCGACATATCGCATTAAAATTTAAAATGGAAGGTTTTGAAATTGTTAACGTTCCCGTAGAGTCCCCAGAGTATATAATTAAGTACAAAACAAATAAAAAACAAATATTTCTCATTGATGATGTCCTTGGTAAATACAATTTAAGTCCAACACTTTTGGAAAAATGGGAAAGAATAAACGAAAAACTTATCAGCTGCTTGGAAACAGAATTAAATTCAAATAAAATATTGTGTACACTAAGATTACAAATAGCACGCAATAAAAGATTTGAAAATGCATCGACAATTCTAAACAAAGAAGTCATTGATTTAGAACACGAGTCTTATGCACCTTCAAAAGAGGAAAAACAGGAAATATTGATGAATCATCTTAAGGCAAATGACTTAGAAAAGGAAATTAAAACACAGGAGGTTGAGATAATGTGTGACACGACTTATGCATTTCCTCTTCTTTGCAAATTAGTTTCAAATGACGAGGAAATATTTAAAAAAAGAATCTCATTCTTTAAGCAACCATTATCACTGTTTAGGGAGGAACTTGAGAAAATAGGGAATGAAAATAAGAAGCTATATTGCATTTTGGTGATATGTATGTTGTATAATGGTTCATTTAGTAAAAATATATTTGATATTGACTCAGATGAATGTGATGAGAAAATATACAGAATAATGAAAACTTGCAAACTTCAAGAAAACATGTCTAAGAAAGAACTCGAGGATATCGTGTTTTCTGCTATAGGATCGCATTTCACAAAGGATGGCTACAATTTCCAGTTTATTCACGATTCGTTTAAAGAAACTGTCGGTTGTCATTTCTATACATTTGATCCCCAAGTAATGTTTTCAGACTGTGATATCCTGTTTATTAGAGATCGGGTCAGAGTTCATTCCATTGAAAACATGAATGAAAATGTTGATGAAAATTTTGTGATCATTCAGGAAGATGAATTGAATGAGAATCATTTTAATTCGTTATTTGATAGATTGTCGAATGAATTAAATAGTGGGAGGTTTTCCAGTTTGTTGATGAGCCACCTTTTTAAGAATAGAGATTTTGTCTATACATTTGGGACCCGTTATGAAAATAATCAGGGCATGCTGGGATCAACAAATTTGTTTTTGAAGAAGGTTAGTTCTGAGCGGATTTGGAGCCATTTGTTTAGACATGTTAATAATCCCTTTGAAACAGACCAGTCAGTTAGTGTAGCGAAAAGAATAAAAGATATATTTCTATCGAATGAAGAATTCATAGATAAGCAGGATGCCATTAGTCGAGTTATAGAGGCCATAGCTGCCAGAAGTACATTTATACACTGGATTGTGGCGTTTGGCTGCAATACATCTTTTCAATATGCTTGGAGCAAGATGACATCTTTGGAGCATAAATGGATTTTGGGAAGAGATTATACATACAACCCCTTAGTAAAGTCCTTCTTTCCTCTAGCTGTTCTTGGTGGTAGCTTAGATATTGTAACAAAGTTAATTTCTACTGGTGCAGATGTAAACTGCATTTCCGAATTTTGGGAAACACCTTTATATATAGCAGTAAAATCAGATCGCTATGATATGGTACGCTTACTGGTGAGAAATGGAGCAAAGGTAAACCTACGAGGATGGTTTGCAATGAAGATTCCAATAGCTGTTACTTCAAACAAACAGGAATTTACTAGTTTGATTCTTGAATACGATTCAAACCAGACTGAGCTTCATAAAGCAGTCCGACATAACGAATTAGAAAATTTGAGATCAAATATTCGGTCAGATAATATTGATTCTAAAACAAAGAGCGGATGGACAATTCTACATTACGCTGTAATATTGAATAATTTAGAAGCTGTAAAGGTTTTATTTCATAAGGACTTGCCGCAAAACGATGATTCTTATTTTGACTTTACACAAGATGACCAAGAGAGCGAATTATTGTGCAGAGAACCGACACCAAAAATAAACATTACTGACAATAACGGACTTACTGCTATGCATCTAGCAGTAATAAATGATAATATCGAGATGATATCTGCTCTGCTGGGTTATAAAGCTGAGGTGAAGGTTCGTGATGTTTTTAATAGAACCCCGTTACATTACGTAAACAGTGAAAGAGCAATAAAATTACTGCTCACTCATACCTCTCAGAATCTGTGTTCGGAAGATTATCAAAGCGTAGAAGAGGGGGGAGTGCACGGAAAGATACCAATTTCAGTTTTCAGGACCATATGTTTTAATATTACTGTACACAATTCTTTCAGAAATATTGGTCGTGACTTTATAAACATGCCAGACAAGGAGGGTAATACACCCTTGCATTCTGTTATAAACAAGTGCCTTTTAAAAAAGGAAATCACTGGTTGTATAGAAACATTGCTAGAGAATGGGGCCAATCCTTATTTATTTAATGATAGTGGCACTTCATCATTAGAGTTAATTAAAAGCAGTTTTGATACAGTCAAAAACATAAACAATAGTGAAAACTATAAACAATCACATACGAAAACTTATAACGTATTTGCTTTAGGCATGTTCATCTTAACTTGAGTGACTTTGGGCCTAGCGATATATCTGTCCTCTGTTATTAGAAAGGAAAGTCAAACTGAACTTTTCTGCGTTGGACAAGGTGCAGAATCTACTCATATTTCCTTGGTGCAGGTGACGAGAAGCATAAACGTTATAATATTTTCTTTTGTACTTCTTTGGTTATTATCAATTACGTTTTACATGAGGTGTTCAGATCTCCTTCGGCGATGTTTTGGTTTGTTTTTAGTATTAATAATTCTAGGGTGTGGTTCTTTATTATTATTTGGTCCATTTGTATATATTCAATTCATATACAGGTTTATGTATGCAATGATTGAAGTTGTAATAATATGTTCGATCTTTATAAAATTGATGTCAAATTTAACACCTGTAGTATTAGTATGTTGGAACAGAGGGAACATAGCTGTTCTAATGTGTTTGTTCCTTCTGATCTTTGCTATTTTCTATGTGTTTGTATCTACCGCATCTACTGACGACAAAAAATTTGACAATTTTGATTCCACGCACGATATAAATACACTGAACATTACAACTTCAAATTGTACAGATTTTAGTTCTGTAAATATCTCATGTACAAGTTTTGCCTATAATGTTACTTATAAGAATGGGGCCGATTTCTCAATACAATGTCGTACTGACCCTAATATTACAAGTTATAATGTTACACTTACAGTGGATTCAGGATTTATAGACTGGTCAGAAATAGGACTAATGTCTTTATTTTGTTTGAATCTTTCGTTACATGCAACAAGTGTCTTTTGTTTTTCAAACTGTATCCTTGTAATAATAATTATGAAAATATTCGGCCGGCAAAAATCGTTCCCGCTTATTATTGGAGTGGCAATGTGTTTTTTATATTTAGATATATTGTGTCAAATGATGTATTAATATGAGTAGGTGTGATAGAATGTTGTAGAAAATTAAAAAAATTAAAACGATAACAACTTAGAATGATGTCTTAAACATATGACCAAATCTACATAGCAAAAATTAGACGTCAGATCTGGGAAAAAATAGCAGGTGCTCCAGAAGGGTTGCATCATGAATTACCTAAAACTACTTACGGGTAAAGTAGTATCAAAGTGACAATTCAACCCCCTAAAAAACAAACAAATATATAACAAAACCAAACAAACAAAACAAAACAAAACACAAGAAAAACACACAAAAAACCAAACAAATAAATCGTTAATGAGAGTAATATATGTTGAAATGATTTTAGCTCACCTAGGACCGTTGTCTGTCCGTCGTTGATTAAAAAAAATCTTCTCTGAAACCACTGGTCAATCTAGACCACTTAAAGGTATATATCCATACTACTAAAATAATGAGGTCCAATTTGTTAGCCGGCATGACGTAAAAACGACGAATCAAAGAATTCAACTTTATATATAACTGATTTAAGACAACGGTGTTGTTTAAATATTGCACCATTCTAGGCCCCTTTGTTTTACACATAATTAATATTTCCAATAGTTAACAATAATTTATCTGCATAATTCATCTTTATATAGAAAAATGATTTATTTTTTTTAGAAAAAAAACCTTTTAGTCTCGAAAAAAAAACAACACAAAAACATGCACAACAATAGATAAATGCTCTAAAGTGAATGTCCCGTTAAAGTTTCTATGACCAATCTACGAACGAGTTAACTCAGATTTAAGTTCTAATGTTACGTAACAACAAATTGTCAGGTAATGTAAAGGAATCGTGTCAAACCAATAGCCATCAGGTGACACTAACATCCTGTGTACAATATGTGTTTCCAGAGTTTAGTTTAAGTGATACACACAATTTTTCTAAAATGTACAAATATATAATTCTCTTTCCCGTGTACACTACCGAAGAAATGTATATCATAAAGAACTTTAAAAAAATGTGAACATTATGAAAAATTCTTCGATACGTTGATTTTTGCTTTAAAAAAATAACCAAATATAAATGTTTCACCATAATTGTTTGAAAAAAAAATATACTCTACTTCAAATTTTTTATTTAATAGATTTTTTTTTATTTCATAGAAAATCAAACGAGACTTCATTGCATATGATTTTTGTCATTTATTTTTTTAATTCAATGTTTTAAGCAAAATCCAGGCAATAAGAAAAATCATTATTGAAATTTTAACTGGTGTACAAAAATATGTCATTGCAGTGTATACCCGCCTATATTTATCGACAGAGTTATCGGTCCTAAATAGGACTGATATAGTTGGGTATGACAAATGATTCTTGTTTGGATATTTAGCTGATAAAACTTTTTGTTTGATAGCAATAGTTTGAATTAATCTGCAAGTCATATGGTCACCAAAAGTGAAAACAGTTGAGACCCTATGACTGAAGTGGATGAACAATATGTTTGTCAAACTGTGTTTTGCACCGGTCCAACCAGCCTGGTAAATATTGCACGGTCCCTAAAGACTCAATAATGAAGCTCGAATATAAAAAAAGATAACAATAGATGATTCGCAATATTCAATATTGCATTTGCAATTTTGAATATAGTATTTGCAATTTTGAATGTAGTATTTGCAATAATTTTAAACTTGTGCATAATAAAATTACGTTTGAACATACTGATACGCTAAACAAATAGGCTGTGTTTAATATGTGTTTCGAAAATGTTTGTTTTACCGGAAAAACGATACGGCGCGTAAGATGTTCTCGTCCTGAATATGCATTTTATTCACCATCAAACGTTCAATATCTTTCCATGTTCGAAATCAGAATTTAATGAAACGTAGTAAACTGTGTATAATAAAGCGATTAAATTCTACTAAAAACTTGTAAATAAAATTGAGAATGGAAATGGGGAATATGTCAAAGAGACAACAACTCGACCAAAGAGCAGATAACAGCCGAAGGCCACCAATGAGTCTTCAATGCAGCGAGAACATTCCGCACCCGGAGGTGGTCCTCAGCTGGCCCCTAAATAAAATTGTGTGCTAGTTCAGTGAAAATGGACGTCAAACTAAACTCCAAAACATATAAATGAACTAAAATTAAAAACACATACAAGACTAACAAAGGCCAGAGGCTCCTGACTTGGGACAGGCGCAAAAATGCGGCGGGGTTAAACATGTTTTGTGAGATCTCAACCCTCCCCCTATACCTCTAGTCAATGTAGAAAAAAGAAACACAGAGCAATACGCACAGTAAAACTCAGTTTAAAAGAAGTCCGAGTCCGATGTCAGAACAGGTAACAAAAGAAACTAAGCAAAATGACAATGATACATAAATGAACAAAGGACTACTAGCAGTTACTGACATGCCAGCTTCAAACCTCAATTAAACTGATTGAAAGATTACGTCTTCATCATATGAAAATCAAGTACAATCCCTCCTGTTAGGGGTTTAGTATCATGCCATCATAAAATATATGAGAAGAACAAAACCCGTATCATGCCAACAACTGGTTTTAGAATAAATATTTATTTCTGATGCAAAGATCATATGAGTGAATCAATATTAATTCCAAAATATGCAATCCTTAATGACATGACAACAGTATCGTAACTATATCCTTTCCGAATAAGTCTGTTTAAAGGTTTGGTTAGCTTTTGAGGTGTATGCCGACATTTTTGTGCTTTGTAAAGAATATTACCATAAAATATTGGATGTGAAATACCTGAACGTATAAGATGTCTGCATGTTGATTTATATTTACGAATGATGTCTTTGTACCGATGATAAAATTTAGTAAATGTTTTGACTAGTTTGTGATATCGAAAACCCTGTTGTAATAATTTTTCAGTAATACAGAGATTTCTTTCGTTGAAATCAAATACGTTGTTACATACACGAGCGAATCGAACAAGTTGAGATATATAAACACCATAAGATGGCGACAAAGGAACGTCACCATCTAAAAATGGAATATTAACAATAGGAAATGTAAAATCATCTCTTTTATCATAAATTTTGGTATTAAGTTTCCCGTTAAAGATAAAAATATCAAGATCCAGGAAAGGGCAGTGTTCATTGTTAGTATTAGCTTTATTTAAAGTGAGTTCGGCAGTATAAATCTCTTTAGTGTACATACTGAAGTCGTCATTATTGAGAGCCAATATATCATCTAAATATCTAAAAGTGTTATTAAATTTTTGAATCAGATGTTGTTTCGATGGGTCTTTGCTGATTTTAGTCATAAATTGTTACTCATAATAATACAGAAACAGGTCCGCAATAAGTGGTGCACAGTTAGTCCCCATGGGAATTCCGATAACCTGACGATATACGGAATCTCCATAGCGAACAAAAATGTTATCTAGTAAAAATTCAAGGGCAGTTATAGTATCAAAGCAGATCCAGTTGACATAGTTCTTTTGTTTGTTGTTACTAAAAAATGACCTAAAAGAGTTTGAACATCTATATTCGCATTCCGACTTTTTAATACCCATTTAATCAGGTGTGTGATTTTTTTTCTTAATAAGATTATGAGGCAACGTGGTATATAGGGTAGAAAAATCAAAACTTTGAACAGATTCGAAATCACCAATATAAGCATGTAATTTATCAAGTAGTTCCAACGAATTTTTGACACTCCAAAAGTAATTAATTCCACTATTTTCAAAGGCCTTATTTGTGCATTCATTTCTTTCTATATTCATAATATTAATCTGCTCTTGTGCTAGTCTTTGATACTGAAGACAATTTGTCATGAAAAAGTGAAAATTTTAAAAGTTTTTGTAAAATTTACTTTTTAAGGTTACCATTCAATTATAAAACTAGAATGATTAAATTGTATCTGAAAGATACTTTGATAAAAAGTTGATATTGGTTAAGAATGTCTTTCTAAGTCATTTTTATCGAGCCTGCGAAGTATTTTTCGAAGAAGCGAGACATACACATATCCACATCTCTAGTGTCGACGTCGACAGCGTCAACATATACGACCAATTTATGGTTAAAACTCTGTTTAGACATCAATTACATTGTCAAATATTTTTAGATTTAAATGAAACTTTCACAGAAGCTTTTTTATGATACAAAAAAAAGAATAACAGTACGTGTCCAGCATAAGAATTCAAAAATATTTGTTTTTTTTCATTTTCCGTATTTCAAAGATAAATAGAGATTTATTTGCAGTTTACATTAGATACAGTTTTAGGTTAAAGTATTTCAGGCATCAACAATCTTGTCAAATATTCATGGAATTTTAGAAAAAAATACACATAAGGTTTTTTCGTATTCTTACTTATAAAAGGTCTTTTTTTGCAGTTAACATTTATGTACAACCTGGGGTAAAGGTGGATAGGGATCTTCATTAATATTCATAGAATTTTTTTTAATAATTTGTCAAAATGTAGTTTATATCATGCTTTTTTCAAAAATATAATAAAAAGTATGGGTCACCGTGCTTTTTTTCACGCTATAGTTTGTGCAAAATGGTCAGATTTTATATAGATGATACATGGAAAACACAATTTTGTGTTATAAATAGAAAACTACACCATAGAATTGTATGATAAAATATGAGAAAATAGCTCTAATAATATGCTTTCAGATCAGAAAAAGAAAAAAATGGGGTCACCGGACTCGTTTTCTTTCTTCATAACAAAATAGGTATATTCACAACACATTATATTATAAAAATTACATTATCTGAGTAATCTCCCCTTATGTTTCAAAGTTTGAAAAAAAATGTATCAAACAAAAATATTCTGGTTTTTGTAAAATACAGCCGTAAATATGATAAAACACATAATTTTCTATAGTTACATGAAAAGTCTTACACATGAATTATATACTACTCTCGAAATTTGCACATTTCATTAAAGATATAGACCGATTGTTATCTGCGATTCAAAATCCAAGATGGAGATAGACACCTCAGCTACCTTAAGAGTGTAAAGACGTCAAATAACTTTATTAAACCTTCAAAGAATTGTATGAACTTGTCACAAAAGTTGTTTTTAATGAATAAGAGAAAATGTTTGAATTA